AATCATTGTTTTGCTAGTAGCGGCCGCCGACATTGCGTTTGATTCGTAGACAGAATTAGTGTCTTTTGATGGGTATATGACAGCCGTCTATGATTTTAAGTAGGTCATAAGTTTATTTCTGCTGTCAGCGTTGTCGGGCGACGAAGAGGGTACCGTTGCGTTTCTGGAACAACACAGCGTATTTGCGTTGCGTTTCTGGAACAACACAGCGTATTTGCAGCCGCCACAAACCGTTTAGAAGTCTAAAACCCCGCGGCGTAGAATGCACTCTCTCGTAGGACCCAGGCTCAGTGTGTGGGGTGGGGGAGGGAGTTGTGTTTGGACCAGTTGTACATGTTATGGGGTTGTTAAAACCGATCACATCCTGTAATATAGAGCAAGCGTGGTTGCCGGTAAGACCGTTGACACAGTACAACCTCATAGCAACCTGACATCCTGCTCCCTAGACTTACGCGTCTCAAAGGTTAAGAGGCATGAATGAATGTCCAGTCACAGTGTCCTGGGTCCGAGGTCTTTACATGTACCACAGCTAGTTCATGACTCAATACCAACAACAAACCCAACTGTTGAAACCGCGAGTATCGTTCTAGAAACAATATTCAGCCCCGAATACGCCACGCACGACGCGTGCTGTAGTATTAATAGAACTGTCCTGTGAGTGAGGGCTTCGGGAGAAACTAGGCCACACGAGAAACGATGATGCAAGACCTGCTGCACGCCTGAGGAAAACAGCACACGCGTTTGGTTAATTCAAACGACCCTTGTGTGACTTTAGCTTAAACTATCCAATTGCACAAGGGTTATCTCAGGACAAACGACAGCTTCTTCCATTAACAAGTGATGAACGCTATCTTTAAACGCGATTCTGATCAAGGGCAAACAAAAAATTCATAGGAACATGTTACTGAAATGTGCAGCTCACGAGTTACGTCCCAATGGCGTGCCTTTATCCCACGTGCGTCGTTTACGACAAACGGCGTAAAATATGAGGTCATTTCAACCTACATTTCGTGTGTTTATCCCGTATGCGCGCGTGTAAGACAAAGACGGATTCCAAACTTTAGGTCAGATTTCAAGTGCTTTTTGCACTATACAGACTATCAGCACATATAGCAGGTCCCCAATTTCGCGTGCTTATCGGTTGTTTGAGACAATTCCTAGTAAAAACACCCATTTCAAAAGCGAAAGCCCAGCCAAACAGCCCAGTGTTTTTGAAGGAAGCCAAACAATTTCCTAAGGAAAAAACCCAGCGTAGCAAAATAATTCCCTAAGGGGGGAAAAAAAAAACCCCAACATGGCCAAACAATTTCCAAGGGGGTGGTGAACAGCAATGAAGAAGATTATATATCAGTCACACATATATTTGTCATTTATCCCAAGCCATTAATTTTGTATTATTCTGTGATTCAGGATACCAATTATTGTTTAATTCAGGATACAGTCACTTTTAACAGTTTTTATTTTCATAACTAAATTAAACCTCACTGAAGAAAGACTAGGTAAATTAACAGGATACAACGAAATACAAAAGCACTGCCGGGCTCCAGCATTTTATACCTTCTAGTTTGCTGTTGTAATGTCAGGTTATGGTATTACAATCGACGTCCCTTCAGAGTGGACATTTACAAGAGCGCACAGTTCTACGATGCAGCAGCCACCAATTACATCTAAAGATTGTTCACATGAGACGTTGGTAATAATAATGTCTCATATACAGCCCTCGAAGACAGAACCGACATGCCTCACCAACCAACCTTTACTGCGAGTCACACAATTGTACTAATGTTAAAGGTTGTAGTAACAATTCCCGGCCCAAACAGAGAGTAACTGAGCTTTCATTGATGCTTGGTAACCTTTCACACGCGCTGGTCTAAGTTAGAGGGTAGTCACGTTGTGATCTGTCATGTATATATTGGGTGACTCGTTGTACTGAGCGGCCGGCGACTTTGCGTATATTCTTGTCTTCTCATTCGTCAAGTACGACATGAATTTACTTTAGTTGTTACCGCAAAATGTTAACAGTTCTAAAACCATGGGAAGTAGGTTGCAGTCTCTCGTGGGACGTGGGCTGAGGCTTTGGGGTGGGGGGGTTGGACCAGTTCTAGATCTTCTGGGGTCGTTAAAAGCGGCCACATCGTGTAATATAGAGCACGCGCCATCTCCGGTGAAAGCGACGTAGAAAATACAACCTGACATCCATGTAACAGAAATTTGCGTGTGAGAAGGGTCTCAAACATGGAATTAACTACCAATCAAGGTGAACCATGTTAGAAAAGATACTTCAGTATCCACAAGCCTAGTTCCTGCAGCGATATCAGCTCTATCTATGCTTCTTCTCATATGCACTGCTGAATTTCTTTCAACTGGTCCGATCGTTCATTACCCTTTTATTCCGTAGTGACCCTGGTGTATATCGAGGTTAAGTGCAATTACCGAAACTTTCTACCCACGCACAGCCTATACTACCTGTTTCAGAGGTGTGGTGCAGGGTTGTTTGTTTCATTGGTTGCTAAGATTCGGGGAAAATTATGTATTTGTACGCATCGTTGCTCTACCCTCATTGAGAACTGCTGTTGTAGTCTGAATTTGGCTAATTTAAGCCTTCTCGTTTTGCGAATTGCACGTTGTGCTGCAGTTTACAGCTAGGCTGTGACACGTGTTACGAGGCAGTCCACACCCTCTCCCCCCCCCCCCCCAGGGGTCCCAGAAACATACAGGAAATTTAAGCCTCGAAAACTGGCATACCAGAACGAAAACAAAATTTGCTCTGTGCTTGACTCGCGTTAACGAAAAGTGTACCAGATAATTTACAAAAAATCTTTGGACATTAGAAAGGAAAAGCGACTGTCATGGTCCTTTTTTAGAGTTGAGGATCTAGACACAACACAGTCATTTAGGCTTGCAACATGTCATACACAGGGCTGAGATACGAAGATAAGTGATATTGTGTATTGTTGTCTAATCTATGTATGTGCTGAAGAAGGCTCTATAGCCGTAACGTTCAAGTTTTGTTCGTGTTTGTTATATTGTGAAGCTCGCTGATATACTTTTCGTTCGGTTTTAAATCTTTACACGTGGCCGAGGAACACAATGACAGTATGCAAAAGAGCTTAGACAAACGAATCAGCTCATTATGGGAACTCTAAGGGCACGAACTGTTCAGGGCACAAACCATGCAGACAGAATGACGAACAATGGATTCCATTCTAACAGATGGTATATTGCTAATGCCACAAAACTAGTCACCTAGCTGATAACATAAGTATTAGATAAAGTAAATATACTAACTGTTTCTAGCTGCATCTGTTTAAAAAAAGTGCACGTTTAATAAAGGGTGCTTCAATCTTAATTTACCCTCAAACAAAGAAAATCCAGGAGTCCTTGGGATAGTCCAAACACATCGCGTTCCTTCAAAGTGGTTTTTTTTTTTTGCGATTTATTTCTGTTTAAAAAAAATGTAATGTGTGTTTCGATAACCATAAACCTAACCCTAACCCTCACCCGTGCTAAATAAAGCTACCAGGTGGTTTTTTTTTTTTTTATTTGGGGGGGGGGGGGGTAGGGGAAGGGCGAATTAAAATTGAAGTACCTAAAAAGGTAAAGTTATGGTAATTATAACATCGCTCTGCTGTGGTTATTGCAACACATATACATACATACTACAAACACGCATACATAAACACAGACATAACATGGAAGTTTAAACCCAGCCCCGTGCATGTCAAACCACCTGTAATGTGTTCTATGGAAGCCTCAGACGTTTCCTAACAACGATCGGGCTATGACAACGTCTACAACCGGTTGCTTGGAGCAGTCATGCGGGTCATGACACTGAATATTGGCAACTGCTTAAGAAGGCTCTCTCAATAGCTGCAGACAGTGCTGGTGTTGCGTGAACACTGCGGGGTACACATTCCGTTAACAATGAAAATGAGTTTAATGTGTATAAACGGAGGTCCCCTTTCTTGCATGAGATCTGAGGTTAATAAAAGCTGTACACGTTGTATAGAGAGAGAGAGAGAGAGAGAGAGAGAGAGAGAGAGAGAGAGAGAGAGAGAGAGAGAGAGAGAGAGAGAGAGCAAAGGTAAGGGGAAAATCGAAGTTCCAACTTTATAGCAAACGTGTCACCCCTTGGTTACTCCGTTCTCGTGCCAATGAAAATCACATAGAATGTTTATCACTGCCCAGCCCCCCATTTTTTCCCCGTCACGATAGGCTGCTGTCTTAGCAAATCTAATAACATATAGACGCATTAAATGCATAAGGCAGCCGTCAGAAGTACTAACACAAACAGTCCGACACTAGAACTATAGTTCATTATCGATGGAAGCAACAGTTACAACAGATCAGTAGTGGCAACATGAGATAGATTTTAAAATCCCTTGGCATTGCAAATCGAAGAGAGTAGCCTAACGGCGCTGCCCGGGCAAAATTTGGAGTGAAAAATCTACCTAAAGTATTTCAGGATCCTTTAAGGTGCTACAGAGCCTGTGCGCTGTCCTGAGCTTCTTCAGACTCAAGACTTGAGTTAGAGGAAGAAAGGAGCACTTATTGGTCACTACCCATGTACCATGATGTTGATCGATTGTTGAAAAACCGCAACAACAACAAAATGATTCAGACGAGACTCACCCACAGTAGAGCTCACTAACCGTAGCATGCCCTAATATAAATGTTTTATTTCAGTGTTTATCAAACTTTTCTTAGTCACGGCGCCTTAACCTAAGTAAAAGTAAAAAATAAAACTCGTGTGTCTTCGAATATTTCGCAGTGCCCTGAAGAGGTCGCGGCTCCCCGGGGCCCTGCGGCGCAGTCTTGGAATCACAGTTTTATATGGCTGAATGGGGATTCTGGAAGTTGTTTCTGTCTAGGCCTTCTCTAGACTTTAGAGACGGTCTTGCTCCTGTTATTCTTATCCGCGAACTGGCGCTGTCGATCTCAAGCTGCAATCCCAGAAAAGTGAAACAGTAAAAAAAAAAAAAAATGCTATTTAAACTTACCCAAATCTGAGACTGGTTAAGAAACTTGGATTTCGCACTACTATGAATGGACGATGTACTTTCCGACGCCGCAGGATTCTGCACCGTGTATTTATGCGTTGATGTTGATGCTCCCATGTTCGGATCCAACGCCTGGAACAACTTCACTACTGGCACCCATTAATTATATGAATAGATTTTTTCCCCCTTGCAATGAATCCGGAACCAGAAATGTTTCCCAATGGTTAACACGTCAGGCACGCTAGATGTGATGCACGCTTTTGCGCAGGGAACGTTGCTTCGCTCAAATGAAATTCAAAAACCTTAAAACCGGATAAAGATTATTAACTTAGGGAAAAATGAAGATTTTAACAAACATTCCAGTACACAGAAACATCGGTTGTCGGGGTGACTTGTAAAACAGCTTGAAAAGTAAATCCCCAAGAACTGAATGGAACTTAAAGAAACAGAGCAGGGATATTCAACTAAAGTTACCTAGGGGCCGACGTTTTGAAAACGGGGATCGTCACGGGCCAGAGGCATCAGGCCCGGCATATAAAAATAATTTATACACTACAGTTCGCAGGTGATCCGCGGGCCAACTGCTCGGTCTCTGATGACCTCATTTGGACCGCAGGCCACCAGTTGAATAGCCCTGAAGTAGAGAGGAAAGTAACCCAGAAACCAAGTAGTGGCCACCCAATTCCTGAAATTTTTATACTGACTAACGGTGATGGAACACGAGGGGAACAGGCCCCTGAAGCGCCCCCACCCCACTGATGACCCAATGACACATGATGTTATGGGACTACGATGATTCTACTGTTTACTCCTGACATGATCAACATAGGGTTTGATTCTCATGCCTCCCTAAAGCTATGTAGTATATCAGAATATTCATCATAATTATAAACTACTTCTGCCGTTAAGCGACGTGGGGAGCAATAATTTGCGATCCAGTGCACGCTGAAATGTAATGATATTTTGCATACTGTTATTATTTTTCATCACGGCCCCTTTCAATAAAAATCACAAACAACTAGCAAATGTCGCGGTTGGTTTGCAAAGTCTTACGAACTAACTTGTCCCAATAATGGGGGGGGGGGGGGGGGTGTTAGACGAATGATGAGAATACCCTGGACAGATAAAAAGAGTAATGAAGACGTGTTGAAAGAAACTGACTCAAAAAGAGAAATGATTGCCCGTATCAGAAAGAGACAATCTACATTTTTTTGGGTCATGTTATGAAAAGGAGAAAACTGGAGTACATCTTGACGGTAGGAAAGTTGGAAGGGAAAGTGGAGGGGTGGGGGCAGAGAGAGACCGAGAGAACATATGCTGGACGGTCTGACATCGCGACATGGAAGATCATCTGTGTCAGAGTGGACTGAAACTACACGAGGCATAAGGTTGTGGATAGGACATGTCTAACAACGTAACACGGCATGAACCTTAAGAAGAGGATGGGGGTTAGGGTTGATAGTAGTCCCTATTTATTCAACACTGGCCCAACACCCCATCCCAATATGATACTGTCCAGGAAAATCCTTTAAAATTCCCAATGAAATCTCGAGGGCGATGAGATGATGGCGGTCGTGTAAAATTAAAGTACCGAGAATTACAGTACACAATTTGATGTTAAAAGCCAGCCGGTAAGGCAAATGGTGATGCTGACGCAAGCACATGCGGGTATATCGCCCAGTATAACTGCATTTAACGCAGACATTCCCACTTATAACCGCGATGGCCCGATTGCTATACTACACACACCGCTTGAAAACAAGAACGTTATTTTCTTACACAGTAGACGAGAAAACATATTTCCCGCTTCCGCTACAAATAACACCGTTTACTACAATATTATGATGACGAAATCACACATGATAGTAAAACTTATCAATACTAAAATACTGCGTAATATTCCAATACTGTGGTTTAATGCTGTTTCCGAAACGGAAATGGGCAGTTCACAAACCAACGTGGGTCTTATACAGCGTGGCGTGACCCGATCGTGTCAACAACATCCGTGACCTGGCAAGCTTACAGAGCTGTACCAGATAGGACCAGGTTGTGTACACCACGCATACACACACACGTGAGCTTCCTGGAGAGCTTACATAGTCCAGCCGTCGCCGTTAGATCATGCGATGTTCCCCTTGACAATCGGATGATTAATTCATTTGAGTTATTATGTTCCAAACAATTTATGTTCTTACAGTGGATCTCAAACAGTGATGCAATTCTCACTGCGATCAAATACAGATGTAACAATCGAGAAGGTCGGCTTCTTCTCAGCAGGCCTTATCGCAAGTGGTTCGGTCCCTCTCGGCAAAATGCATAGCAGCCTATCAAAATTTTGCACAAATCACACATTCTAGATCTCTAAAGACGATTTTCTAAACAGCCATGATTAAAATACAACCTCCCCGGTCCTAAACAGCCCTAAAAAGTGGTAAACTCGCGCAGTAAACGACAGTTTAAAATATACATGAACTCGATATATGTGTGAATTCAAAACAGCACTCGGCAATATAACTAAAACCAGTTACACGTGTACGTTTGTGAAGGAGCAACAAGTATAGAAGCTTTTAAGTAACACATATCATGTAACAGTGAAATGAAAATGCTGACATACTGGATAAAAGGGAGCTTTGGGGCACAACAAGATATTCAATTTTTACACACATAAGCAAACTGAAAGCAGAATAATAAACCAGTTCAGTCACAGGTCGATGTTCTCAGTGCCCTCGATTCATGATTTCGCCAACCTCGCCTGACTAAACAATCTGGTCCTGTTCACGTTTCCCGGATTTACCTATCCTTTCTCAATCTGTTCTAGGTCAGAGGAGTGTCAGGTTGTACTGCTTTCTTCGAAAAGAAGCTCTCGTGTGACCTAGGCTCAGGCTGTGGATTTGGGGGGGGGGGGGGGGGGGGGTCTAGATGTTCTGTGGTCGTTGAAAGCTGTGTCGTCGTGTATGTAGTATAGAACACGCGACATCGGCGCTGATCTAATTGGAGGCAAGGCAACGCGACACCCCTCCGACGTAGAAGAGTCTGAGAAAGTATGAATGAAAGGTCAGGCAATGTGCAGATGGGCTGGGAAACGTGAACCAGACCCAAAATCTTCACAGTGTGTTTATACCGTATTTACGTGTGTATAGGCCGCACCTAATTTCTGTAAGGACAGTTTTAGAAAAAAGATAATTTTTTTAGAATGTCGGAGAGATCAAAACCGAAACAATAGTACCTGTAAGCAGTGAAAGATGGGCCGCGTAAGAGCTGGTCGCAGGTGTCAATTTAAGTTGCAAATAGTACTCAGGGCCTACTCTATATTAGAGAAGGCGTTGGTAGTACTAGACAATGGAAACCAAACAGCTGGGAGGATGTGCATGCGAAAACTGTGCGAGGATGGATTGGAATGAAAGATGCTCTTGAATAAATATTCCAAAGTCGTCAATCTTTTCGTGGCAAGAAGGAGAAATGCCGGAAGTAAAAAAAAAAAAAAAAATCTGCAACATCATGCCGGATGCCTTTTACTTCCCAGTAAATTACTTAGTGCATGGCTGGGTTAAACTGGGAAGCCAAAATCATTTTTATTAAAAATCCGCCATGATGCAGATTAGGACGCAAGGTCTTCGGACCGACGAGGAAGCTCCTAGCTAAATCGCTACAGGAGCTCTCATACAAGATATTCTATTAACTTTAGACTTAGGACTCGACATAAAATGCTCAACATCATATTTACATATGACATTTATGTGCACACAGCAGCAGTAAGCACTTTCAACTGCAGAAGATATTACAACACTGCACCATATTTAAAGAAGAAGAGTCAATTTTTTTTGGGGGGGGGGGGGGGGGCAGATTTAACAACCCTAGATGTCAAACTCTACCACAGCTTTGAGAAGGCAGAGCAGATAGGATAGACATATCTGCAGATGTTTTTCAGCGGTATAGTTATTTGTGAAGGGGTATAGTTATTTTTCAGGATGTGTTATATGTAATTTGCGAAGAGGTACTAGAACGATCTGGGGAAAGAGACAACGCGAGCAGATTCTTGACAACCTTTTGTCATGACAGAGAGGGGTGTCAACACACGAACTGATACCAGGGCTGCCAATGAAATTTTATTGAAAAACCCAGCTTTGCTAAACAAAAAGCCAAGCCAGATTGTCAAAATGTACAAAATTTATAGTTACGAAACGAAACAGTTACCACTTTTATATAAGGATATATAAAAAAAAAAAAAACCCAGATCTTCCCAAGGCGTCAAATAAAAAACAAAATCTTAAAAAGGGGGGGGGGGGGGGGGGGAGAACCCAGCATTGGCAGCCCTAACTGATACACACAGTTGCAGAACGCAGATTATGGAGAGGCAAGATCGCCGATGCCAGTCGGCAAGGCATTTGATAATGACAGTTACTGGCGATGTGGTATAGTACTCTGTGAGAAGATTTGTGGCGTGTTTCTGTGCGTCCATACGCAACTCTTATGAATAAGCACTAGATGTGACAAAATCAAATGTTCTTCGTGGCAGTGTCTATCCAGACAACATAAGTTATGAGAACCGTTGGTCTACGCCAAGTCTAAGATAACAGTGTAGACATCGCCAACCATCCAATGAACGAGAAACAAAGCTGTGTTATCAGAGAACTCAATGTAGACACCACGGCTTGAAAGATTATCAAACACTGCTTCCTACGTTTGGCCAGTGTTGCCACTTTGGATGTTTTACATCCAGATTTAGATGTTTTCCTTGCATTCAGATGGCGTTTTTGACGTTTAGATGGTAGATGTTTCTCTAGATTTTTTTTTTTTTTGGAGTGAATTTATCAAATTTAACCTAAGAAACAGGATGAAATTTGACCTCTTAAATGCTATCTTGACAATAAAATTCAGCCTGATAAGAGTAGGAAAAGGCTGTTCCACTTATTAGCTCCCTGATTGGGTATTAAAAGAAATTGGAACAGCTAAAGCCTAACAGTCATTTTGGATCTGAAGCTTCAACTTCATCATCCAAGCTAAGTTTTTTTATCCTGTGGATCTTGTAAGGCAGACTTCAGTAAAGATGAGGACATAATTATACAGGGTAAGTCACATCAATTGCTTTGTAATTTGTGACTCTTTCCATTTGGATG